ATGAGCTTTTGCATTGGCATTCAACTGTGTCCCACTTGTTTCTTGCAACTTGCCAGGAACTGGCATAACTATTCTTACCAATGATTTTTGCTTTTGCAGAAGTTGGCACGACGGTGTTGCCTTCTTCATTTCTTGCAGCATGCCGATCAATCAGTGCCAAACCTTTGTCTCGTAGCTTTTCTCCTTTTGTAAGTCTGTAACGCACGCGCTATTTTTGAAGTAACCTTTGCTATTTTGATACATTTCCATGACCGGAAACGGTTGAAAGAAGAAAAGGATTACCTTTCGTTGAGCAATGAGTGAATTTCAGAAGGTGTGTGATCGTTCAAATTATTCTTTCCAACACTCTAATAATGCTATTTTAATTATACTTCCATGAGCAAACATATTAAAAAGTGGCAATTGACTATAATCGATTTTGTTGTAGTCTGCAAAGGCCATTTTAATTGCTGGCCAAATAACCTCAGCCTATATTTTCTTCATTACGCGCAATTCTAATGGCCAAATGCATTCTAATTAAAAATTGAAACTTACATAATGTTCTCTTAAATGATCAGATCTGTAGTTGACACACGTCGGATAGAGAAATAAAATTAACGATGGACAAAGCATTATAATACCAATGCCGAGAAAACCTGCCCACCAACGCCCGATCCATGACGGATCTCGAGGTGTTAATCCAACTGGCACTGAATAAAGCGATTCAAAAAGTGAATGCTAATTGGATTGAATTCAATGGCTTTATGAAGAGATATAATTAAATAAACGATTTTTTTATGTAAAGCAACATAATTGCAATTTTTGAATTGTTGTAATAGTCAAAAACAAGCAACATCTTTCAAATTTCAATAATTAAGAAGATTCGAGTATCTTCAAGTAGAGCAAATCACTTATAAATTTACAGTATGATAATTACTGGACTAGGTATTAATCTTTACTGTAATTGAACAGTTTGACACATCAATTAAAAGATTGCATAATTATGTGATTAGTAAAAGAGGATATCTGGAACTTACAAATTTTAAATTATTTTTCGAAGAATCTATCAATAATGTTCTGTACTTACTATAAAAACTATAGTAGTAGTTGTTGACAATACTGCCAATTAAAAAACCGAGAAATGGACCAAGAATGCGAATGAAAAACATGCCAGCTGAAAAAAAGAGAAGTACATAAAACATGTATTATTATATAACACTCATCACTTCAATTTATCGATTTTTGAAAGAAAAAAGTTTTAATTCATTTATTATTATTTCGCATCTTTATTATTGTCAAGCAATGAAATAGTCTTTGTGAATAGAAAAGGGCAAAGAAATGTGAGTGGAAACCGAAATAAAGTGGTAAATTTTGTCGTTTCACATTATCGTCGATTAAAGGAAGGCCAAGAGAATGAGGCATTGTTCGGCCAATGCCAAGGATGAATAAACCGGCAAATATTGTAATGAATGGTCCCATGTTTGACAGCCCACTTGAACAGCGAATCTTATCCATCTATAAGATTAGTCAACAGAAAATCTCACTCATATTAGGGAAGTAATGAAATACTCGAGTACTCATTTATTGCTTAATTAGCCGAGAGTCAAATAAATAATGTTATTAAAATTCTGTTTAACAAAATCATCTGCATTAAAGAAATCGCTTTTATGTATTTATATAATTTAACAACTATTTCGAATATATTAATTAAATGTATGAATTTTTCTAAATAATTAAGCGTTGTTTTTCATTGTTTCTTTAATGCTTCAAAAATTCACCTCCTCTCTTTTTGGCATGCAAAATTGTTGTTGATAGAACAAAAGAATAAAACAAAATAATATAATGATTAGATAAAGTAAGATAGAGTAATTATATTAAATTAACGATTGCAGAATTTTTCTTTTTCGTACAATTCTCTTCAGACGAAAAGCATCATTATTACGTGTGTTACGCGCGTCTGATTCCATTTCAAATGAAAACACGTACTTTCTGTTTAAGTGAGTTGAACATTGCGTGGCAAAAAAAAAATGGTGAACTGATCAAACCGCGCATTTTCGAAATTTCTGTCACATTAGATTGGTTTGACAGTTGCAAGGAACTCTAAAATTGATCAGTTTTAAGGTATATTCATTAAATTTAACATTTTATGTAACAGTCAACCTGTCAGCCATCAAAATTTTAAATACAAATTTAACAGCTAATTTGGTCGTTTATACACGAGTTAAAATATCGCAGTTGTGGAGATTATACAAATTCGAAAATTCAAAAACTAACAAAAAAAAGGGCGCACAATTGATCGGAAGTATTTTGACGTTCGTAGCATGAGGAAAGTTCTTCATTAACAAATTGGCGCAGTATGGTGGTTAGCGCATACGTTTCTGAGCTCTGATCCAACTGAAGCAATTGAAAATTACTAATTCAATAGTTGTTGAAATCTTGGGTTACTCATATTTAGCCATTTGTTGCTTTGGCATAGCTAAGGCTAATAAAAACAGTTTTAAACTGTGTTCATTAGCTTTCAATTTCACCAGATTTTTTATAAACAACATTCATGTGAAAAATTAATTAATTAATACTAATTAATTGCAAGACTATTTATCAATTATAAACAGTTCGAGAAAATATTCTGAAATACTAACATTAAAAATAAATAACTTATTTGGAAAAAAAATCAGAAAAAATAAAAAAGGAACTTTTGGAAAAGATATTTGTTGGTAGTAGAGTTTTTTCAAATTGAAGCAGTGAATAGTTGAATACAGTAAATTTGCCCAAATAATACACTGACCATTGAATAAGTAATGTACACAAAAATGTGATCTATATAAAAGTAAAACATTAAGGCGAAAATAATTAAGAAATACATTACCGGAAATGATTTAGCACTTAAAAAGATCTTTGCATAATTCAAATATGTGCTGGCTTGCACGCTATCATTCAAACCACTCCGATCCGCTATTATGCTCGATTCTGAAGAGGACGAAAAAAATTTGCATCATTTCAACTTCTTTTAGTTATAGTTATTCATTTTTTATTTGCATATCGTAATGTTACAAGTACTGTATTACCAATAAATGTTGAATTAAATTGAGTAGTTTGCACAGGAAAAAGGAAATTAGACATGCCAATGAGAATATCAGCAAATGCAATCATCAAACTGCCAGCACCAATCCATCTGGCTCGATTTCCCTGAATAAAGAATTATTCAAATTTTATGATGTACATATCTAAATGTGTCAATACCTCGTTCTTTCATGCTACAATCTTTCATCCAACATCGCAAAAAACAAAGAAGGGAGAAAATGGACTAAATTAATAATTTGTTTGTGAATAGTTATGGCATTTATAAATCAAGTTTACAGAACCCTTTATTTCAATTATATTTAAGCATAATTTCAAATTTGAAGAGAAAGAATAAATTGGAGCTAAGCGGAACCAATCTTTGTCTTAGAGGTTTAATTTTAATGATCATTTAAGATCATTAAAATAATAAATCATTTAAACCATGAATGATTTTGATAAGAAGCCGAAATCTTGATAATGGATCTTCCATATGCGATGAAATCTAACTCGCGATAAAAATATAAAATATTACTTTCTTCTCCAAACTTTTTAACCGATTATTGATAATCTTTAAATTAGACCATGTCAATTCATTGCTTTTTAAGAAATTTCGGATTATTCCAAAAGTATTCTTAACTTCATAAAATAAGATCGAGCTAATAAATAATTATTGTAAGACCAAAGAAAAATTTTGACAATCCTTTAAAATAATTATTACATTCATTTTTTCAGAATGTGCATTATTTCTATATGATTACGATAATTTATGCAATTTTATGTATCTGCGATTACAGGCAAAACGATTAAGTCATAAATTGGGAAGTTGAAAGGATCAGATTGATCACTAAATTCCAATTAAAATTGATCGTTAAAATTAGTGGAAAGAGATTAAAAATACCTTACTACCGAAGTAGCTCACAAAAACCACCGATGGTATATAACCAAAATCACCAGCAGAAACCATTAAACCAGACATCTGACTTGATATTTGAAACTGTTTCTCTATCGATGCTACCACACTGTAACTCTCAGATTTTGATTCAATCAATTTTATCTTCTCCTTTTTTTACAAAAATATAAATGAACAAGCAAAGTTTTGGGTACATCTTTAAGTAATGACCTTGCCATAAAGAAGCCACCAATTGATTCCAAAAAATAAACGGTAAGAAAAAGCATGAAGAAAGCAATAACCTGAAAAAAAGTTTCAAAATAGCACTTTTATGATATCGGACTGTTGTAATTTAGCCAGATTAATTGTTGAATTAAATTGCGCTTGTCTTGTAATTTCGCCAATTTTTTAAATTGAATAAAAATTCCAAAGATGGTTAAACAGGAAATTATGGAAATACAGTGTGAAAGCATACGTTTGTATTTCCTCTTTCTCGCTTCCTTGAACTGTATTCAGTTCAATTTTTACGCTAAATTTTGTTGAAATTTTCGTAGAGCACTTACCTTTTTTTGATCAGACATTACAAATCACTCGAAAGGATGTTAATGAAGAGAGAAGATGAAAAGTGATTTGAAATTTGTTGCAAAATGTAGTCTGAAATGGATATTAATTGCGTTAATTTAAAATTTCCTTCAACACATTGTTTTACTTATTTCCAAGGTCGAGAAATAAATCAAAAATTGGAAATTGTTTAATCATACATACACAAACATGTATACACACATATACACACACATACACACATAACAACAACAACAATTTGCTTAATCATCTCGGAGTTTAATATTCGTAGTTAAATAAAAATGAATAATAAAGGATAATTGATATTGACTGGTTCATTGCAGTAAATCACTGATAAAATCGAATTTTTATCATAGCCTATCACTAACTATTCAATTTGAAAAGATTACTTTAAAATGTTTGATTAACCATGCTTATCACATTATCGTTTAAACTTTCTTCCACTTTTCTTCCTTTTAACAATCATTTCAAGGAAAAATAGTGATAAATTTGTGAAACAATTAAAATTGCAATATCTTTCAGATTAGCATTCTTCTCCAATACATACTAATTAATTAAGAGTAATCTGTAGAGAAACAAAAAATCGATTGAAATATAAAACTCATTGTCATGGAAATATTGAAGGGCTCAGTATAGATCAGCCTTATACTAAAAATGAAATGAAAATATTAGTTTCAGTTTCCATATCGCTTTCACTTCCCTAAAAAGAAAAAAGAAGCAAAAACAGGTTTTTTGTTTGTGATTATTTGGGAAAACGAGTTCTTTGAAATGGAAGAGAAGTGATATCAGTAAATGAACTTTTCATTTCATGAATATAACTTCCATCATCCTTCTTACCTCCTCTGACTAATTATTTTGAATTTATAATTTAATACCACTGATGGTATGATAAAGAGAATGAATTTGACTGCCAAAAGATGCATGAAGTAAATTTGTTTTTTTTTTGCTTACAAGACATAATTTTTTAAATGATTATTCAATATTTAAGTCTGTGCGAAGGCATCCCTTTCTTCCAAACAAAATTAAATTCTTTATCTGAGAGAATTAAATATAATAGGACATATTTCATCTTATTTAGGAATTCCATTATTAAAAAATGATAAAAACAAATAAGAAAAAATATATACGAGTGATTCAATTGGTATTTTAATCAATTCATTAGAAATTTTATAAAATGCATCATTTATGAATGAAATGTGAGAAATCAGATCTAATAATTTAAATAATTGAATTGAAAGAATAAGGTTGACAATGAGATCACTTCTGACTCGAATAAGTGCTTTCTTAGTCTTTAAAAATATCTTAAAATTGGGTGAAACTTGAGAGTAGATATTTTACAATGCAATAACGACTGATAATTAATGCCATCAAAAGAAGTAATGAACGAAAGTGATAAGAGAGCCGTGTATTTACTGCCCTTTTTGAATTGATAATACCGAGCTGATAGAGCATTGATGATAAAACAAGGAAGAAATGCAATTGATTTATTAATAGTAGGAAAGAAAGAAACACAATAAAATTTTAAAGTGTTATAAAATTCATTTTTGCATATAATGTGGCAATTTGCATAGTAATGTAAGTATAAAGTAAAAGAAAAGTTTTTTTAAACAATAATAAACCAAAGAAAATTCAAAATGATATAAAATAGTACGTAATGGGGCATAATTCATTTAACAATTTGTAGTAAAATTATCACGTTACAGTGGTACACGTGACACACGCCTGTTTTGCATAAGTTTACAATTCAAAATCAACTTCATCTGATTACATTTCTTTATTCCAAATTTCTATTTTCTGTTAGTTTTTTAGTAAATTTGAACTTCTTATTTCAATTTCTTACTATTTTAGTAAAGAATAAATTACTGAATAATTTTAGTTTTTTTACATTATTTCAGATAATTTCCGCGCTTACAAATTTCCTAAAATTCATTTACGACAATATTGATACTTGTCATCAAGTATCAATTCTAACGAAAAATATCACTCTGTTCTGATTATCTTCTCTTTCCCTCTGAATACTTGAAGAAAGGTACTTTTGAAAATATTCGAACGTATGAATGGATTAGAATTAGATTCCTTAATGCCTATTCCAATCTCAAATTGCAGTTTTGGTAAAAGAGTGACATGACCGCAACCAATGACGCTAAACCGAAATCTCAACGTTTTTCACGTTTCAACGCCACTCTTTGCACTCTTCTTACCTCTGGACTATTTTGGTAACATCTAATTTTTTCCAGAGAATTTGATTTCATTTTAATTAACTGATGAATATGCGTAAAAACATACTGATGAATATGGGAAAAACAGTAAACTCACGCAGACAAGACACATAAGCATATCAAAATGAAACTTATCTACAAAAAGTGTAATTTTACATGAGAGATGAATGCAACATATACTGTTACTGTACGGAACGTAAAGAGTTTAGAGATTCGCGTACAAATCACACGTTTTTGTTTTTGTTCGAAAATATGATGTTCAGTTTTGCCGGTAATTTGATGTTCACGTACGATGAAGCAACGGGTAGTTTGATGGCTTTAACAGCATACATCTTTACGTATAACTGGTACATGTTGTACGGTAATGCGTTAACACGTGCACGAAGAGCATTTCTTAGCGTTGCCAATGTACTCGACACGTATCAGTAGGTTGCTCTTCTGTGTTTTCTAGCTTAGTTAGTCTTTATTTGATTGGAATTTGGTACAATTAGCGTATTCTATGGCAGTTTTGTTTCCCAATGAAAGTTTTACTATCAGAGTTTATAACCGAAAATACGGACAGTTCTACGAATCAGTTCCGGATACGCCGGGAGATGCAGCAGAGGCATTCAGAAAGGCGTTAACAATATCAATTAGTGATATTCTTAACGAAACCATCGCTAGCACCAGCGATGATAGAACAAAATTCGAAGAAGTAGGTGAAAACGAGAATATTGGATTCTGTTTTGATAGCCGTGTTTGAAAAGAAGATCCATTCCGGGTCAGAGATTAGATTTGTCGGTGCCAAATAAGATTATCACCTGTCATTCAGCAAATTACTGATGATCTTGGTTATTAACAAAGCTGTAAAATAGATTAATATGTCCTAGTATAGCTTGGTTTTAGAGTACCAATTCCAACCTTCCAATTGATGAGGAATTTAAGAAATGAAATTTTTTAAACGCCATCGACCGATTGCATTTAATCATTTGCAATAATCGCTAAAAATCGACACAATCTAATGAAAAAAGGATAAAAAGTTACCCACTTATGTGGAAGGAATGAGCAAAAAATTCATTCATATTTAGCCTATTTCCAGCTTTTATGTGAATATATTTTTTGCAAATAAAAATTTAAAAAAACAAAATACGATTATAGTAAATAATGCTTATAAGCATAGTGCACCTCTGTGGAATACCATTTTTAAATTTTACTTTAAATTAAAGGCAGTGCAAAGGCACTATGCTGACCTATACAAGGCAGTGCAACGAGCGGAACGAGAAAGGGGAACAAAATCACCAATTGCGGATGAAATTGATACTCGTTAATTCATATTTTGATAAATTATCATGAAAATAAAAGGACTAAATGACTTGCCTTGGGAGAATTAGCATTTGTCAAGCTAATAGATTGTTAGCATATAATTAGAGTTGAAACATTTATTTCAGATCTAATTATACTTTCAACTTTGATTAGCAAAGCTGAATAATAAAGATAAATCCTGAAAGCTATGAGATATTTCATTCTAGGACATCGAGCCAATAATCTAGAAGAGGTGAAGACAATACCGACATTATCATCAAATTTAAATAATTTAGCAACAAATGAAAAATGTGACAAATCAAATGCAAGGAGTGAATGATTGAATTGTTGAGGTTCAAATTAACTTTTGTCACTTAAGATTCGAATTCATATAATATTACATTGATTGAAATTAGAATGCATAATATTAGTTAGTCATTATTTCATGTTATTACCACGTTGCAGTTAATTTTAAGAACTATCTGAAGAATTAATAATGTTTATGACGGACATCCTCCCATTATGAAATTGAATTCTTATTAAATTATAATGAAATTTTCAACAATTTACAGCCCACTCTTTATTATTTCTTGTAAAATAAATTACAGCAAATCACGTCTATTGTACAAGCAATTACATCGCTTTTCACCTGTACATAATACGGTTTGAGATGAGTCACTGTGAGCCGAACGTGTACCTTCCGTGATAGTACTTAATATCGTGTTGTCTTGATGTACCTGTTTTCGTTGCAAGCCTGGTTTATATCTGCAAAATAAATCATACCTGTAAATTATAAACTGCAAGCCATATCACACCACAGTTTTCGAATTATTTAACAATTTATCTCATTGCAAGTTTCACTACGAATGTCGAGAACAAACTCAAGACTTCTCGAAATTAATTTAACTCCAATATTCATCACATAGCCGAACCAAATAATTAAACTAAAGATAGAAATCTTCTTAATGATTCATCATTTGTAATGTTTCCGTAATTCTTACATTCTCACACCTAATTTGCACTTCAATTCTTATCTCAACAGTTCTCTTTGTTCCAAATAACTAATCTGAACGTTCCCATTATGCTTAGCCGCCTTCAGATTATAAAAACCGTATGATTGTATTCTTTTCCCATTTTTTGTAAACCATCCTTATCCTTACATGGGAATTCCGTTCATTGTAAGCTCCTCCTTACAAATATCTAGCCTATAAAAGGACCGGGCGGAAGTGGTTCGGGGACTAGTTTTTAATTAACTCAAACTTGTCCGTAGTTTTCAATCAGCTCAAACTAAACCAGTCTGGTGATCAATCAATTCAAACTAAACCAGTCAACTTATCAACCGAGGAATCTGGCGACCAACCAATCAACCAACAAACCGATCAACTCAAACTAACCAGTCAATCCAATTTCAATATTTCAAAGTTCACAACCATGAACTTGGGAATAACTTTTGGCTTGCATGTTTAACAGCTACAAATTGTAGATGACTATACATAAGATCACTGTATGAGTCCATCCTTTGATTTATGTTATCATTTAAATCAATCCAGTTATTGCAATCGGATAAATTTACATTATGGTAAAATTATCATGAAAATGAAAGGAGAATTAGCTAACAAGTCGTGAAATATTACAATTAGAACTGAAGCATTTGTTTATTTAAATTTGAATAACTCAAGCGACTTATTGTCATATTAGTGGAAGGGAAATGGATGAAAAGGAATATGAAATATACTTGGCAGGCGAATAGTGCGAGTGGTGAGAATTGAGTATGTGATTCCGTTCCTCCAAATAGAGCAGTTTCAGTTGATCTGAAAGGTGACCTTAAACGAGAAAACGTGTCATCATGAACATGATGGACGAGAAATGCTAAATCGTAAGCTTTCTTCTGCAATGGCTATTTCATCAGAGGAGAACACCGAAATATATCAGCGTTTTCTGCGATGATGCAATTTCTGAAGCACTGATCAGTTTGCTGAGAAACGAAACTTGTTCAAAAGAATAGTTGAGGAAATATATCATATAAGCCTCAGGCGATGCGTCAATACTCCAAAAATTTTACTCTAAAAAAATATTTAACAACTAATATTTGGCTCTTACGAAGTCAAATATCAGTCATTAAATATTTTTTTGAAAAGAAAATGTATTTGAAAAGCAAACCACAAAGAAATTTTTCCCATCCATGAAAAGTGTTAAATTTAAAGTGTGCCGGATTCAGGTTGTACACTTTACAGAAATTATTGATTAGTGACCGGACCAATATTTGTTCTTTTACTTTACCGTACTGTAACTGCATCTTCTTCAAATGTGTTAGCTCATTAAAAATGGCTTCCTCGTGTGCATAGCATCGACCGATTCTCTTATCTGCAATTATTTATTTATTTTTTACAAGTATCAGTGAAAGATTTCAACAAAACATTGAAATGTAGTCAGATTTCTTGGGAGTAAAAGACAGACGTCATTTTTTAAATGCCATTTCTGTGTATGTTCAAAATGTCATTCTTGCTTGTTGTGAGAATCATTCTCGAAAGCGGAATATTTTGATATCGGGGAAGCAAATTGGTTCGTTGAGTAAATACTTTTATGAAGTCTTTGCTGCATTGTGACTTCGCCAAATTCAGTTCGATAGATATCAACTTGTAGTGAGCCAAGCGATTTCTCCAACTTTTCTTTAAAACTATTTCTATCGGCACTCGTCGGAACCTTCTGAGAACGAATATTCATAGCAGCAACGGATTGCTCTTAAACAAAAATAGAAAAATTTCTCCCAACGGTCCCTTCTTTATGATAAATGCTTCCTATTAATTAAAATATCTAATTAAGAAAGCGATACACCTGACCGAATGCATCCTGGCTTATAATCTTGAACTTGTGATTAATATTGTTCAACATTACCATATCTGATTTTAGTTTTTAACAGTCTTTTTTTACTTTTCCCAGTGATTATTTAGCATCCAAGAATAAATGAGATAAATACACGTTTAAAAACATCACATCACTTTTATCAAATAATTATCGGTCTGTATAATTTATTAAAATCACAATTTTTTGCCTGCTATCAACTGGAAATGATCAATTTAAAAAATATTTCAGTTAGTGAAAGTTATACCTGAAATCAATTGCTTGCTTGTCCCATAAACACTACCACTCTCCGGCTTATCATTAACTTGCTTCCCATTATTCTTATCATTATCAGTGCCGCTTAAATATCCGTCAATTCTTGTCAGCTGGGCGAGTTTCTTCTTCATCCTTTCTCCTCCCTCAATTTTTCCGTACAAACGTTCATTTTCCTTCAACTGTTTCAGCTGAAGATGGTACCCACTTCTTGATTTGCTTAAAATGTTCCTGAAATTTTTACAATTAATGCAAATTTCGTGGTCCCTCCTTGATTTCGCACTACAAATTTTAAATGTTGCATTTTAATTTGCAAATTTTGAATTTTATGATAACATTTGGATTTTTTGTCTATTTTTTCTGGGCCTTCAATCAGCCAAAGGCTAAAAATTAGCTGACCGGATTATTAATTATTTGTCAGGATCATACCTTGATGACTTTGCTATTCTATTCGCATCTTCAAAATTCATATCACCATCTTCCGATGTCCAGTAATTGTCATATAGCCAGTGATCGCCGTTAATCTCTCTCACTTCCTCATTTTTAAGGCAGACGTCGTCCTTTAAGTCTCCAGAAACTTTCTTAATTTTCTTTTTTAAGCATCTCACGAAATATTGTCAAGCAGTTAAACATGTTGCACCCAATCATTCGGAATGACCCGAAAATCATTTGTCGGTCGGAAATAGAGGATGAAAATATCTTTTAAATTGTTAACCCACTTGTAACTGTTTTTCAGATAAGTATTGCTCGAGATCTTCAGTACTTGTCGCTTTAGGTAGAAGCTGTTGAACAGGTGAAGAAGACTGGTAAGTTTTTAGAATACCCGTATTATCAGGAGATTCAGGCCTCTTAAATTAGCATTTGGAATAAACTTGAAAGAATTTGTTGGTAAATCATCAAAAATGAACAATGTTTGTTCAGTAAGAAGTAAATTTGAAGACAAAAACAATTTTCTTCTTTGTTTCTTGCAATTTTAATTCTTTTAAAATCGAAACCAAACAGTTTCTATAGATTTAGGGATGGGATGGATAAGGTTAAACATTTTATGAACAATTCATTAATAATGCACCGGCACAATTGCTCACCCGAGATCTCGAGATTCTAATAACTGAATAGATTGTTTGTAAGATAATGGATGCGTACCGAGGTGTTGGTGGCTGCAGCTCGACAAGCTCGCATTGACGTCTGTGTTTCCTGACAGACACTTTCCATTTGGGTACTTCCTACGATGAACCGATTTCCGTTCGGCGAGACGCCTTTTTGTCTGTCCACTCGTGCTACAAATGCGGTTTCAATTGTCCGGGAGCCATTTATGCCCAATGTGCTATCACTTACCCAAAACATTCAATATTAGTTTCGCTTCAAGCAAATTTCGTTTCAAGATTGGATCAGAAATGCAATTAGTTTTACCTTCCTCTAAGATTCGATGTTTTAGATGTGACTTTGCTTGTCTTCTCGTTTCCTCAGACAATTCCTCGGCTAGCTTGGCATCTTGTCGTAATCGCAAATATTCCACAATTAGTTCATGATTCTTTTGTACCGCCAAATCTAGTGGTGTTAAGAGTGTATCCTGAAAATGTCTAATGCAATTCAGGAGATTCCTGTCTGAAATAATTTGTAATAAATTTATTACTCATCAATGGTTCAAAGTTAAGCTTACTTCATGTCTGTTAAGTGGTTCCAAATGTTAATCTGCTTCTCTCTTCACTTAGCTCTCTTCTTGTTCAAGTGATCTCAATTCGGTTCGGTTCAACCACTATCTATTTTATCAGTATCACCAATGCAGTGTTATCATTAGAAGTTTTAAGACGGTCTTCACGCGAGTATCATCAGGAGTCCTACGTCCGACTAATTCTATTTGTGATATTCTCTGATACTGTATTGTCTGATGACTCCGTACCTTTATCAGAACCACAGTAATGGAAATCTAGATTATTTAGCATGCATTTCCACAATGTCAACATTGCTAAAACAACTTCTATGATAATTTCTGATAATTTTACTCGCTCTTACTTACCTGATATAACATGAGTGGATTGACGAGAGCGTTCCGAGTGCATAACAGAATCACTATTTCCATGTTTCCGGAAGCAGCAGCCAAATGCAAGCCGGTTCGACCTTCATGGTTTGATACATTTATCGATGATGGATGTGAAGCGAGCAAGTATTCCACGCAGTCTGAACAAAGTGCTAACATCTTTGAACAATGCAAAATTCGATGAGGCAAGTCTCAGGATGAATGGTGTCCCTCTTGAAGATACCAATAGAGCCAAATGTAGCATTCATTTGTAATGCAAATTAAAACTACAGTGACTTGTTCACCTTTAGCACTGGCCTGGATAGCCTCATGTATTGGTAAATCGCCTCGTCGATTTTGAATTTCATAACTTCCACCGAAATGCCTCAATAATTTAAGCATCCTTAACTGACCCTTTGCTGCAGCACAGTGAACTGGACATCGAAGATAACGATCCTAAAGGACTTCAACTAACTTCAAATTAGTTAATCATTTCATTTGTAATCTAAAATATTTCTTCAACGAGACAGTAGTTTATACCTGATGATTTACTTCAGCTCCATTGAGCAGAAGTAGCCGTGCACATTCATAATGTCCCAGAGTTACAGCATAGAACAGTGCAGTGTCACCATTCCGGTCCACCGAATTAACAACGGATGAGTCCAAAGTATTGATGAGATATTCGATGATGTGTGCATGGCCATGGCTTGCAGCGCAGTGTATCGTACCTAACTGATCCCTATCGACAGCGTACATGTCACCTCCAGTTTGCAACAGGATGATTGCTATTTCCAGACTTCCTGAATAAACTAGCATTATCTTAATTGTTCATACTTATATTCTACTCCTTCCTTTTAAATTTAAACTTTTCAGCATAACCTTTTTTGTTTTTTGAAAAAATTAAAATAATAAAATTACCGTAAGTTGCAGCCCATAATATCGGTGTCCTTCCATCGATATCTCGCGCATTCACTTTAGCACCATACTTTAATAATATATGCAACATTGCTTCACAACGTTCCAACGAAATATCTTCCGCAGCCGCAGCATAATGCACTGCCTGTGCTCCCTGTAATAATTTCAACTGAAAATAAAATGAAACTTCAATTTCCTCACTCAACAAATAAAGCAAACAATTTAAACTTTAATCAAAGTTTCAGTTAATTGTTCTTTGCTAATATACATTCATTTGTTTAGCAATTAAACTTTTCCAGCAACACTTCCATTGTTCTTATTGGCAATGAAATAAAAGAAAAACGATTGATGACGAAATGTGATCGGATATATCAATTCGAAAGTGCTAAATAAATCGGATGAAATACGAAATTCACATTATTTGGTCAGTCAAAGGTCAACTAATAAATAAATTAATAGATTAAGTGATACAGTGAAACAAAAGAAAACTGAGAAGAAATTCATTGGCATGCCTGATTGTCGACACAGTCAACTTTGGCACCGTTATCCAATAATGTCACCAATGCTTCCAACTGAATCATCAATTAATTAATTAATTAAATTCGTCTTATTATTGCATTAATAAGAGTCCTACTGTTGATTGCTAAATAGAGCAAAGTCTAAAGACCGATCTTAACGCTAAATAAACTTTATTTTCAGAAGCGATAACAAGCGTGAAATTATGATAATTAATAATAATAGTAATCAGTATTTTAGTGCAAAAATTTCGCAATATTAGGCTCAAAATTATTAAATTTAACCAAAGAAACCTGTCCACAAACAACAGCCCAATGCACAGCGGAATGCTTTTCCTTATCGACATGGTTAATTTGAATGCCACTTTCTATCATCAATCTTATCGCCGGTACATTTCCGCTCATTGACGCTATTAGTAGCGGTGTATAACTGTAATTATTACGCAAGTGAACTTTTTGTAAAATAACAAGTCTGTTGTTGAAACTTAGATGGATGGGCATTGAAATGCATGAAATATTGTAAGAACAGAAGACATTCAGGTTGATCATCGATTGCATTGTCGGATATAAATTAAATTTTAACGAATATTTTAAAAACTAAATCTATACTGATTGAATTTCACTACTATTGGCATGTATTTTAGAAAATAAAACAATAAATTAAGCAAATTGAAATACCCATTTTTATCTTGACAATGAATTAATGAATTATCCATCTCTAGAATTCGTTTAAATGTCTCGGGATCGGCTGTTTCAGCTGCATAATGTAATGCTACTCGATCTTCATTATCTCGACAAAAGACTTCATCCTAAAACAATGAGAGTAAGTGTGAAATTATTTTTAAATAAATAAATTTCATAACTTTGTTTGAAAATAAATGAACTGCCATTTTCAACATTCTGATATTTAGTATTTCAAGCATATATTAAGAACTGAAAATATGCTTTGATGGGACAAACTGTCTATGATATTCAAAATTTGAAGTAACATTAAAAATCATTTTGCTTTCATGCCAATTTTGCATAAGTTTAAGTAACATTAAATCAACTTACGGGAAATAAATCGAGAATTCGAGCTGTGGCAATCATATCTGATTCGTTTAAAGCACGTATAAGAGACATTCGTTAGAAGTTTTAAAATTTTTTCATAAGAATTTTGTTCGTGTTTCTGAAACGCTGACAAATTTAAAGAAAAATATAATGAATGATTGAAAAATTAAAGCATCGTTGTTTCAGAATTTGATTAATTCTATCTCAATGGAATTGATTGATTAACACACAGAAATATTTCGGGACAGAGAAGCTTGCTGTATAAATTAACTTTCTTCTAATATATGTTGAGCAAAGAATAATGTTTTTACGATAATATAACAATAAATGCTAAATTATTTACTTTTTTATGATATCAGTTGACATTACAAAAGAAATTTTTAAACTTAGTATTAAAATTTCCAATCTTTCATTCTAAATTTTTTTTCATTGTGAATTATCTTTTTTCGAATATTCATTTTGAATTCTCAAAGTTTAGAAAATTCCAGCCCAATTTTGCAGTAAACTTCAAAAACAGTTATTCTTTTCCTCGTTATCAGACATATTGAAATCATCGATGAAATTTTACTCTTACAATAAAAAATTATCTCTAATGATAAGAGTATTTATACTAACTATATGAATCATAGTAATAGTTTTTTCTTTTCTTAAATGATTAGTGATAGAATAAAAAATGAAATTTAAATTTATGATAGACGCAAGTCTCCAAGCATCAACTTGCGTTGCATTTCGTTGCTATGGAGCTTTTCAATGACTGTCAAAGGGTGTCATAAAAGCATTTTAAGAAATCGAAATCATTCGGCGGAATAATTTCATTCACGTGACAGCGTTCTTTACTCGACGCTTTTTAGTAAATTAAATTTTGCAAATAAATTGAAAGGTCTGATTGGCGTGACGTTTTTCATTCACTTCTTTGAAGAGTAATATTAAGGATAATTTCTCTTCAATACTTACTTCTTTTTTCTTTCTATTATATAAGCGCTCTTTAAAAAATGATCTGAAATAAAGTTGCGCTGGGCAAGTTCACGCAATTTCAAACAAAACGTCATAAGCGCATATTATAAGAGCAAATTGACAACTACAATTAAATCAATTTGTGCGTGATCAATCGTTCTCCAAACAACGGTACTGCTATTCCGCTCCCTTTCTTCAAATTTATGAAAATATTCGCTTCTTATTTACATGCGGAATTCCCCAATAAATTTCTTTCTTCATTTAATTAATATCAAAATGTAATTTTACAACAAAAAATAGTTTTTTTCATTGTTTCACATTTTATCATTTACAACAGAGAAAAAACACACTGAGAATTACTTTGTTTGAGAGATTGTTAACGGCGCCTTCGATAATTTGTCACGGAATCCGCAAAAAGCATGCGTGGATCGCTATCGGTTTTTTCCGCCTATCGAATAAAAGAATATATTGTACGGTTCAAAAGCACTAAAGGAATAGCATTAAAAAATTGGGTAAGAAATTAAATGTATGCAATATCGTATTTATCAAATTATTGCTATAAGGCGTGAAGCTTGTTTGTTTATTTTTAAGCCAAGTTTAATTGATACTTCAGTCTAATTTTTGATCTTATGGTGCTTGGATTGATTGTTTCTATGATTAGCATCAATATTAAACATTTTTACTTATTCAATCCAATTATCTGCTACCAAAACTCTGCCCAAATTTTGCCTTTATAGATTTTTGATGTGATAAACTTTCGAACTTTTAAATTAGTTGCATTTCTTTTCAAGGTCTTAACACACTTGCTATTAAAGTCTAATGCTTTCTTTTAAAAAGACTTAAAAATAACAATTGAATTCAATTAAACAACTGCACCAAAGTAGTCAAGAAAAGAATGCTGTCAACGGTTGCAACATCATCATGTCGATTAACATCAAAAGCAACGGAACTTTTCGGTTCAACAAATGTAAATACCGGTTTTACTCTGTACAAATCATTGTCTGTACATTTTACCTAAACGACAAATTTGAAATCTAAATCTTAGACAAACAATTTAATCAATGTGCATGCCACTTTCATTCAGTCTACAGCGTTTTTACTTAGTGAATATTTTCATGCATAAAATATTAGCTATTTAGGATATTGGCTAGATTCATTTAGCATTATTGCACCTAATGGTGAAAATAAGATTATTCCAGTTCTAATACCTTTAACCTTAACGAGATTTACTACTGCTGTTTTCAGCTAATCCTGCTTAAATCAAAGTCTGTCTATTAACTATTTTCGAAGAAAAAATAAAAATGTGCCAGTTTTTTCTTCTAAAACTGATATGACTTATTCACTTATTGAAAGTAATTCGATGCAACTTATTAGTGAGGCACGCGCTGACATAACGCTTATGAAAATGTGGTAACCTTAATGAAATAAATTAAAAATTACTGGAAAACAGAGTAACGAATGAGAAGTTCATTTTACCGGACAATTTACAGCATACAAAGATAAATAAAGGCAATGGAAAATTGGGGGCAGTTAATGTTTTGTATTGGTAAATGTTTACAGAATATTGTCAGTATACAATCAAATCAAAATTTCTCTTTCATAGACACTTAAGGATGTAAGTAACATTAGTTTTTATTTTATTACATCAGAAATGTTGCTATTTGAGGAATTGGTTTTTACTTAGCTCTGGCTGAACAATCGATTAGTATATGAATTTACATACTAAACTGAAATTGGAATGCATTTTTAACTATAAAATGATTTCCTTTTTAAAGAATGAAATCCTTTTGAATCAAATAGGAATTCCGAATACTATTCGTCGCATAGGAAAGGATTTCGGACGTTATTCAATGATCAGTTTTGCACAAATTTCACTTGAAAAAAGAAAAAACGACTAATTGACAACCTTTACTGCAAAACGATTTTCAGTTGGATTTTGTAGTTGTACTCGTTGTACGGTATTCATCAATTTCCATTTAAGCTGACGTGGAAATATAATAATGCCATCTGTCATAAATGCGTTCATTTCCAATTCACTCTCATCACTGTTACCAACAATTACTTGTTTCATCTGTTCTGAAATTCAATTCATATCAGATTTGAAAAAAAGGAAAAGAAAGAAATGATGCAATGTCTCTTCCTTATATATATTACATTAAAGTATGCTAAAATTAAAGATTGAATAAAATTTTAAAAAGGTCAACAAGCTAATAAAGTGCATTTGTTTGCATAATTCCTTAATCGTATTAGAACATGGTACCTTCAAAATAAGAAAGTTTCGATTTTTTTCTTTCCGCTTCTCGTAAATCACTTTTCTAAATTAAAATATCATAGGAACTATTAGTTGATAATTAAACTGTCAAATCAATTAGTAATTAAGACTTAAAAATTTGCGCTAATAAACCTAATAAACATCATTTACTCTATCAAATGCTACTTTCTGAATGAATTAAATTTGAAAAGGCAAAATTTTTCCCAAAGTTTAAAATGATTCTCTCCGCAAAGGCGATATTATGTCGGAAAAAAGATGAAAAATAAGCGAGTGGTTCAATCAAGCATTTCGGAAATAAATACGATGTAATTAGTGAATGAATGATGAATGAATAATTAAACGGAATACTTGATTTCTCTTCTTTAATAAAACTCAAACATTGTCGTCACACCTTCATCGATTGCTTATCCGATAGTTTCCGGATCATTTCCTTTAATTGCATATCCGGTATTTTCTGTATTACATTAACCATTTCATGCCTTTTGTTTCCCTCATTAGCAGTAACTCCCAATGATAGACCGCCTTCATGATTGCTATTTGATATTTTACAACCGGTTGATAATGTTTTATCATTCATGGAATGAGATCTTCCCACTGCTGCTTCAGACTTTTTTTTCTGAAATATAAACAATCATCATTGTAAGATATTTACTTTCCATCAATGAGAAAGGATGAAAAGTTAAATGATATTGGTGAAAAATTGTTAAATAAAAGAGGACAGACCAAAAGTTTTAGCTGTCTTTTGCATGAACATACAATCGAAATAGCTATCAGAGGTGGCGATATAACGACCATAAACATGCCACCCGCACCCATTAGCATAGTTTGTTAAAATAATCCAAACAATCCAATCCATTTGATAACATAAACATTTAATTTCCATACTTTAACAAATGCAAATTTGCAAATTAACAATTTTTCCTTAACTTTAAACATAAATATTAAATTCTACAGAAAAAAACTAATATAAAAAACTAAAAAAATACAAACAAATTAAATTTCGAAGAAATCATATGCCAGGTTAATTATTGGCAGCTATAATGTTGCCAGTGAGAATATTGCCTTCATTCGAGAGAGTGAAAATGTTTTGAAAGTTTGGAGCTTCATTAGAATCTCAATAGATTAATTTAACCAAACTGTTCATTAAATTACTTTTAATTTATGAAGCAGAAAGATTTACTTCTTTTTTTCATAATTTATTTACACAAGCGTTAATTAATAAAATTAAATGAGATCACACCATAATTTTTTTCCACGATGGCAACTGAGAGAAATCTTGACAATTTAGCGAAATTCCGATCCAGAATTTTCTTGTTTTCTTCTGCCCATATTTTTAGATGATAGATAAAATACATTTGATTTGAATTTTATTTCCCAAAAACCAAATGCCAGGGAAACCAAATTCAATATTGTTTTAGTCGCCGCAAAGGTCAAAATAGGGATCATTGCAATGCTTAAATTTTTCTCCTTCCTTTTTCTATAATCAGATAAACAATGATTATTCATAATAGGAAATTATTGAATGATATATTCTTCATATCATCCAATACTAAAAGATCACTGATTTCAAGTATCAAACTGTAATCTAATTTCGAGAAACAACATTTGTTTGGTAATACTTTTTTAAGCTTGCTGTTATTGATTCCGCACCATCTCATTGCTGATCTGTTAAATTTAGAAACGAATAACAATTGTTATTACTTATTATCTTTCGCTTATTTAACTCATTTAATAAATTTCTCACTGCAAAATATATTACATTTCATTTCCAAACAATCAAGTGTTTATGATTTACTAAAGTTTTTCAGTAGGATAATTAACTGATTGGTCTGATTTATAATGCGATTAATTAGATAATCAACTTTTATTTATCAGTCACTCACTTTGGTTATAGATTTTCCCTTCTTTTTAAAAGCATATATAAATGAAAAATTTTAGCTGCTCAAAAGTGATACAAATAATTGGTACGAAGCTGCAGGGATTGCTTTCTTATCGGTGCAAGAATTGTTTTGAAATTTTGGTAAGCGTAAAAAGCAGCACGGAAGGGAACAATCGATGGTCGCTAATACTGTCACCATTAAATTCATAGCAATAAGCACTTTTTGAAAGGAATGTTTGTTTTCACTAATACGTGTTCACATAAAAGGTGAACTTTTTTCGTCCCTTGAATTATGACGTCACATTTATCTCTAATATTCATTTTTGTGTCAACACAAAAATTATTTTCCAAAATTATCAAAAATTCCCACTGCAATTCCTTTTTTGTACTAAACTCGCTCCCTTTACAAATTTCTTTCATTTCTCGAAATTTATCCCATTTTATTTCCAGAAACTATCTCACAGATAAGTTTTTTCCAGGCAGTATTTTGTGATGAATTTTTTCATAAAATATTAAAATACGCGATTTTTCTAAACGTAACACCCACCATGCATTGATTGAATAAAGCGGACAAAAATCGAGATCATTCCTGTGCATGCAAAAACACTCCTCTATAAGAATTGCTTGGAAACTTAAATTTTAATTTCTCATCCATATTTTGCATCGAACTTTGTAGAAAATATTTCATTCCGTCATTGCAAACTATTATAAAGAAGGGCCATAATATGTGAAATAACGATTTCGGAAATTTTGAAGTTTGAAATAATAATTACATTTTGCTCGTTTAATTAACTTTCTTTTGCAGAAGTTCAAATCAATAAGAGATAGGGTTCACAATTTGGATGACATAAAAGAAATAACTTATTACCTTTTTATATACAGAAGTAACAATGAATGAATCATAGCAATGACAGTTTAAGAATATTAAATTAAAATTATAGTTTGATATTATAGTGCAACAAAGTAGTTATAGAATGAACTGATAAGAACATTATATTTTTATGAGACGTGCAGTAATCAAGTATAGGAAAAGGAGATTTTAAAGAAAAACGAAGTAAATATATTATTTAAGAAGTCGCACTGAATTATACGTCTTTCTTTGTTTGATAGCTTTGTTTAAGAAAAGAATACGTGAATTGAGCTGTAATTACTCAGAATTAATGATGCAAAATCAGAGTTGTTTTGGAAAACATTTTTTTACTCACATTCCGATCTACGAAATGATGAATTGGTAAAGTTTACAGTGTTTATTAGTTTTAGAGTAAATGATTATGTTTGAAATTGGCATGGAGTGAGCAGGTGTTCGGATAGAAATAATCAGCATAAGGGGAGTCTTTATCACTCTTTGCTCCCGTCTCGGCTGGCTGAGTGAATCGGTCCGGAAATAAAAGCATATAGAATGATAGCTATGTGCTAAAATTAATAAAATGTACTAAATATGAAATAGATTTTCGTCGTCGGACAAATTCTGTTTGTTTACATTTTGCATCTGACAAGAACAAATTTTATTAATAAATTAAATTACATCGACAAAGCAAACGAAATTCAAGAAATAAACTTTTTATGTGCCGGCTCATTTCGTTAAGCAACGATTACAACGGAAACATTCAAAGTGCACAAAGTAAAAAAGGTTATCGAAGATGTTGCAAACATTATCGTCGATTTTGTTGTGATAACGATTCCGTCCTCCCTTACCTCTAAATTATTACAGCATTCCTGCACTTGCTATTCTTTCCTAAAATAGCATATGCCCAAACTGATAATTTTATCGAT